GCCCTACAACAACCTGAAGCACAGATTCCCCTGGCTGTCAGAGGCTGGGCTGCGTCTGCTCAACTTTCTCTTCATGTATGATCCCAAGAAGAGGTATGAGCCAGGCAGGGCAGGGAACCTGCCTCACACTGTCCCCTGGGCTAGGGTGGGGGTATCTGTCACATCCCCTTGTCCCCACAGGGCCACGGCCAAGGACTGCCTGGAGAGCTCCTACTTCAAGGAGAAGCCCCTGCGTAAGTACCCCCCTCCTGGGGCAGGGCTGGGGGGCTCTGGGCCCTGCTGACCCCCTCTGTGCCCTGCAGCCTGTGAGCCGGAGCTGATGCCCACCTTCCCACATCACCGCAACAAGCGGGCAGCGGGCACGGGGCCAGAGAGCCAGGCCAAGCGGAGCAAGCCCTGAGCTGATCCATGGGGACACGCACAGTGTGTCCCAGCTGGGACATCCTCCCTTGGCCCAACAGCCCTGGCACTGTGGGCTCTGTCTGTTCCCAGCACACCTCCCAAATCCATTTCCCTGCACGGGACTAGCAGGTTCCAGTCTGGGGCTGGGGCAGCGCAGCACCGGAGAAAGGAGAGTGGAGAGACAGGGCCCAGAGCCCTCTGTGATTAGCAGGGTCAGTCCTGTCCCATGGGGGGCTCAGCCAGTGCTGCCTGTGGGGGGAACCCCGACTTTGCTGTCAATAAAAACATGTCAGCGGTAACAGGAGGAGTGAATGGCCTCGTGCCTTGGTGCCAGAGGCACTGGGAGAAACCACGGCCTTGCTATGCTTCCTGTGTGCCCCGCATCCCTCTCTGGGGACAAGGAGACCCTTGGCATGAGGACACCTCTGTGACGCCCTAGGCTGTGCCCCTCTTTAAGGGGATCCTGGCCCTGCTCCCCTGGGGGAGGCAGGAGCTGCTCCCAGGGGGCCCTGCTGTTGGCTGTCACCACAGGCCCTGTCCCTACCCTAGGACCAGGCATCCAGGTCACCCCTCCCCAGGACAGGAGACCCCCACACTGAGGCAGCTGCTTTACTGATGCATGGAGTCATTTACAGTGGGAGCACTGGGGCTGGAGCAGGGCCTCTCCTCCTAGAGCCCAGTACAGGCACTGCCATCTCAGGGGGGTTGATGAGTCCAGCATCCTTGTGCCAAGCCGTGGCTGTTCCTGTTCCCTTCCTGCTGCAGGGGCCAGGCAGTGGCCATGCCCCTCCTGTGCCCTTCCACCAGCAGTATTAGGAGTGGGGTCCAGAGCCGTCGGCCAGCAGCATGTCCAGCTCCGTGCGCTGCAGCCAGAGCCGCTGCTGGCGCTCCCCGCGCAGCTCCTGCCCGTGGTGCCGGCTGCGGCAGGCACGGCCTGTGGCACAGCCTCCTGTGTGCAGCTGCCGGCAGGTGCTGCAGCAGTACGAGGGCAGCGTGCCCCGGCGCAGGCACGAGTGCAGCTGGTAGCAAGGCAGCTCCGGGGCATCCTGGGGGCAATCCTGGGGTTCCCCCAGCACTTGGGGGCTTCTGCTGCCCCCTGCAAACTCCTGCTCCAGGAAGAGGTGAGAGGTGTCTGGCTCAGCACTGCCCAAAGGCTCCGGCTCATTGCAGTGTCCCCAGCCCCTCATGGGCACGTCCTGAGGGTCCCTCCACAGTGCTGGGGGGGCTGTGTCCTTGCCCCCCATGTCCTCGGGGATGTCCAGTGTGTCCCGGTACAGATCTATGCAGTCAGCAGCTGCCCCACACTGCATCCCCGGGTCCCGCAGCAGCTCCAGGCAGCTCTGCCCATCCCTGGCCCGGTGCCGTGCCTCCAGCAGCTCCTCGGCACAGGGCTGGCGTGGCTGCAGCTGCAGCGCCAGC